AAAAATAATAATTAAAAAAAAAAATCTCTAAGAAAAAAAGAAAGAACTTGCATTTCCATTCATTCACTGTTGCACATTTTCCTCCCTGCCATTCCAATCCTCCAGCTCTTTTTTCTCTGGGGAAAAAAGTTCTTTCATTGTTATACAGTTCTCACCCCCAGGCCCAGTGCACTTTACTGTGCAGCTCTTTTTCTGGACTCTTGTCATGCCAATAATACCTAATCATATATCCTTTTACATAGTTCCTTCCCTTGTCTGTTTAAATGCTGTGTATATTATTTATTCCCTCTTTTCTTAATTTTCCCCCATTCCCCATGCCAGTCCTATTTTATAACAGTGGCACTATGCAGTATTTGTCTTTTTGTGATTGAGATATTTCACTCAGCATAGTATCCTCCAGGGTCACCCATTTTGTATAATAGTTCATGAGTTGTTTTTCAGTGCTGCATAATATTCCATTGTATCAATACACCACGGCTTCTCTAGCCATTCATTTGTTGATGGGCACTTGGGTTGTTTCTAAATCTTTGCTATTGTGAACAAAGCTGCAATAAACATGGGTGTGCATATATCTGCTTGGATGTCAGGTATGGTCTCTTTAGTGTATATTCCCAGTAGTGGAATTGCTGAGTCAAATGGTATCTCTATTTGCAACTTTTTGAGAAAGCGCCATACAGCCTTCCACAGTGGTTGCACCATTTTACACTCCCACTAACCGTGAATACTGGTTCCAGTTTCTCCACAACCTCGCCAACATTTGTTGTTTGCTATTCTGTTACATTTTGGTATTCTTACTGGGATGAGATGATATTTCATAGTTGTTTTTGCATCTCTTTTAGTGCTAGGGTTGAACATTTCTTCATGTGTTTATTTGCCATCTGAATGTCCTCTTTGGTGAAGTGTTTGTTCATATTCTGTATCCATTTCTCAACTGGGTTGCTTAGCTTTATCTTGCTGTGGTGCTTGAGTATTTTATAAATTCTAGATAGAAGTCCCTTATCAGATATGTTATTACCAAATATTTTTTCCCAATCTGATCTGTGGCTTCCTGTTTTACCGTTGGAGAAGTTTTTGGATGTGCATAGGTATTTGATGCTTTTTTTAAATATATATTTTATTATTTTGAGTGTGTGTACCATCAAATCGAATCTGATTGGTATAGGAGGAGATTGTCCCTCCTTCTGCAGCAGAGCATCTGGTGGATTCAAACCAGATTTGATTCTTAGAAGTTCCCATTCATCTATTTTATCCTCTCCTGGTTGTAGGTTTTTCGGAAGCTTGAAAGACTGTTCATGTTGTAGATTAGGGCTTCTAGGGTTCTTCCAAGCTTTTCTCTAATGAAGTTTATAGTCCTTGGTTTTAGTCCTAGGTCCTGGATCCACTTTGGGTTGGTTTTTGTGTATTGTTTGAGTTACCACGGCCTCTTCTAAACACAGCCTGCACATCTGGCAGTTCTCTGGTGATGTGTTGTTCCAGTCGTTTTGGACAATTTTCAGCAGTATCTTTCATTGCATGTGATATTAATGATATTGTTTGATTCTTTCTGCACGTTGGAATAGGAACAAACAGAAGAGACTATGCCTTGGAGAGGGACATCATGCTTTGAAAGGTGGAGGGTCAGAGAAAGAGGAAGATCTTCAACAAGATGGACAGACACAGTTACTACAGCAATGGCATCAAGTGTATCAGAGTTGAGGAGAAGGACACAGGAGAAGACATGGTTCAGATCTGTTGTTCACAGGGTTGCGCTTGACTTGACGTAACAACAGTAGCTAGAAGACTTTAAAATTAACATTTTTAAGAAAATAAAGTTTTCTTTAAAAAACACTTTGAAAGCTACTGACATGAATCAGGGTGCTCCTTAGAGGGAAGGAAGGCCAAGTACATTGGGCATGTTACTGGGGGGCTGGAGGCCAGTCCTCGGCCCTTGGGAAAAACGGCACGCTGGCAAAGGCAGACCGTCGGACAGGAGGGGAGGCTCTTCCATGAGGACAGATACAGTAGCTGTAACAATGGGCTCAGGTAGGGCAGATGGTACGGCTGGTGCGGTGCACGGCAAGGTTCAGACCTGCTGTTCACTGGGCCACTGCGTGTCATCGTCAACTCCACAACCTACCACCACCACCAAGTGCAGACGGCTGACTCACCACCCTCCCCCCTGCCCAAGCACTGTGCACAGACCAAGCGGGAACCACAGACGCCGTTTCCCTAAAGCAGCATGCATTACCCTCAGCCCTGCTTCGGTGAGCTCCAGGCAGTATCTGCTCCCTTCTCTGGTCTCCACGTTGATGTAGGCCACATCGTCCGCACAGCGCAGGCTCTGCGACACCAACATGCTGTTGACAGCGAAGAGGACATCACTGACTACGGCTTCTGCCTCGAGCCGCATGTCCTTCATGTCAGTCCCCTCCACACCATTGAGCGTCGAGTCGCCTTCCAGCCCCGGCACGCTGCTCAGCTCCCTCGGGTTACAGTCCGTCTCCATCCTGCACAGAAGCAGACAGGAAGCCGGTTACAGAGAGGCACACAACGTGCTGCCCTCGACTGGCACCAGGTACAACACACCAATGGCCGACCACCGTCAGGAGAGGAGTCTAAACGACCCACGGATTCTCCAAACACGGTCCTTTCCCACTTCCCCGTGAGGGATGTGATTCCCTTCCTGGTAAGCACTTCACATACAGCAGTGTAGCACTGTCTGGACCACCACCACCCAAAAAATCCAATGTGCGCTGCTCTCCGCATCAGCTGGCCTTTTCCTAGGAGACACATGTAAGCCCAACTGCTGAATCAAAGGATAGGCCCACGTTCAACAGATACGGAGAGTTCTCTTTCTGAAAAAGGCCACCCTGACATCATCTCCCAGAAGTGCGGGCACTCTGGTGGCACGTGCACTGTGTGTTCCTCACCAAAAAGCCAGTCACTGGTGCCAACCCACCAGCCACTCCCATGGAGGGTGGGAGTGTCCTCAAGCCAGAAGCCCCAGTCTTGGGGAGAGATGGCCGGAAGGAGGTCAGATGGCTGGCAGAGAGCCCCAACCTCGGAGATAGACGGCCGGCAGAGAGCCCCAGCCTGGGGGACAGATGCCTGGGGACAGCCCCAGCCTCGAGGATAGATGGCTAGCAAAGAGCCCCAGCCTGGGGGACAGATGCTGGGGGACAGCCCCAGCCTCGGGGACAGACAACCAGCGGAGAGCCCCAGCCTCAGGGATAGATTGCCGGCGGAGAGGCACAGCCTTGGGGACAGATGGGCAGCAGGTGCGAGCAGTGGGTCTGGATCACAGACTATGAGAGGCTGTGCTGTTACCACTTATTAAAGACCTGAGCATCCAAGAACGCCCTCTCGTCATTTAGCATGTATTATCTTTTTGGATGTTTGCAGCCTATTTTTGAACTCTAGGGGCACAGTGGTTAAAGTGCCTAGCTGCTAATCTAACTGGTGGTGCCTCAAACCCACAAACCACTCTCTTACCACCCATCCCCCCAGGTCATCTTCCTGTTTAAAACACACACTGGTGACCAGGGAGTCTATTCTGCTGACGCCAACCCCGTCCTGGGAGGCTACAATCTTCACAGAGGAGACCGGTCCAGGCGTTAAGCATCAGAGTGCTAAATGGAAGTGAAGGTCACTGGTTTGAAACCACTAGCTGCCCTGTGAACAAGAGGCTTCCACAAAGGGTGCTGCTCTGGAAACCCTGCTCTGTCCCATGGTGTAACTGAGTCTGAATGGACCCCAGGACAGATGACACAGCACAAAAGCAGAGCTGCAGGCCCATGGTCAAGTCACCACCGGAGAGCTGTACTGAATGCATGCACGTCACGAGCCGGTTCTGATGTGTGCCCTCCGTCAGTCTCTGACAGTGCCTCTTCCTACTGGAGCAGCTGAAGGCTGTGAGCTGCTGGTTTATGATATCCACTCACGACGTCTGGAGACGGAATCTGCCCCTGGCTTTTATAAAGCCCTACGTGATCTTCTAAGGAGCTCTTATGGTATAGTGCTAAAGAGCTGCACCGCCATCCCAAAGGCACGCATTTCAAATCCACCAAATGCTCTGTGGCAGAAAGATGGGCAATCTCCTCTCAAACAATTAAAGTGCCTCTGAAAACCAGCCACTCAACAGCACCACTGTCGTCCAAATTCTCTTGCTAATTATAGGTGATCATCCTGGAATTTTTCTTATGTTTTTTCCCAAGCAGTCTACTGCTGTGACACTTACTGAACAACTAGTCTTCACAGCACTGTTTGAACTGGCCCACATACTCCACCCTGAGTAACATAACTTCTCTCACCAGCCTGACCGATACTGCCACCAGGTCACTATGTACTGAGAGCTGCTCCTCCAGGGCTGGGGTCAGACAGGATGTGCCCAGTGGTTTGGACTGTTAAAACCCAGCAAGTACGAATGAGACAGTTAATGGACAGGCTGCTAGAACTGCACGGAGACCCAGGCTCTCTGCCTGCCTGGCAGGCATTAAGCGTGAGCTGCGATCTGCTCTGCTGCTGGACACTGTCCACCGTTCTGGATACAATACGACCCCCTTCACTCAGTCTCTCTCTCACTCTCTCACACACACACACACACACACACACACACACACACACACACACACACTCACACTCTCACTCACTCACTCTCTCCTCCCCAGGGACCGAGCGAGGGCAAGGGACCAAGGCCCCGTCCCTCCCCTGCTACTCAGCTCTCAGATAAAGGAAGAAGGCAGCAGAGCTCCTACCTGGTCACACACTCACTCATGCGTCAAACTCCTCTAACACGGCCTGGCAGACCTTATTAAAAACAGCCAGCTAGCCTACCACGAGACGCTGGAGTGGGCACCGCCTCGGCACTCTTGGCTGCTGTGCTGTCCTCTGGGGACACCCCTGGGAGCTGGTCTCCACAGCTGTGTCACACGTACATGGCAGACGTGGGAGCTGGTCCCCAAGGCAGTTCAGAATGAACATGTAAACAAGGGTGCCTTCCTAAGTGCTCAGCTGCTGATGGTCAGCGGTTCGAGCCCACCAGTCACTCCAAAGCAGAGAGGCGAGGCTGCTTCCATGGCTCACAGCCTTGCAAACCCTGCGGGGCAGTGCTCGTTGATCCTGCAGGCTCCCCAGGAGTCAGAGGAGACTCGACCGCCGTAGGGTTTTAGGTGGACTTAACACTCTTACCAGGAGGGACCAGTTCCTGGAAAGACACACCAGGCTTGGTCAGTGAGAAGAGTCAGTGAATCATGGAAGCTTCTCCACGGCGCAGCCCACACGTGTCTGCAGTGTTGGGCTCCGAGCCAGCAGCCATGTGCAGATGGTGTCAGAATGGACAGTAGCTGGTAACCCAGTTACTTTTAAAAATCTCAAAGCACACGTGTAAACGTCTACTTCACTTCTTGTCTCAAGGTTCTTTTATCTAGTCTCTCACAGCACCTACATCCTAGTAGTCAGCATTAGGTGCTGTCGACTGGGACTCACGGCTACCCCAGGAACAGACCTGTCCTCTCCTGTGCCTGTGGCTCACCTGACACACTCGAGCCACGGCGTCAGTCATCTTTTAGGGTCTTCCTCTTTCACTGACCCTCCACCTTTCCAAGCTTGATGTTCCCATCCAGGGAAGTCTCACTCAGCCAAATGCCCAGGGTGTGTGAGTCAAAGCATCACCATCCCTGCTTCCAGCACAGATCAATCACAAAATCACCAACTGCTGGAGCAGTACGTCAGGTACTGACACCTAAGCCTGGTGGACTACGCAGCAAAGCAAGGAGCCCTGGTGACATAGGGCCCAAGGGGTCAGGTATTAAACGGAAAGGTCAGGGGTTTGAATCTAAGAGCCATTCTGAGAGAGATGGGCAGACTCCTGTGAGGACCCGCAGCCTCGGAACCCTCACGGAGGGCTGGTCCCAGCTCTGGAACTCGCCACGGCACGACAGTGCAGGCAAGTTTTTCTATGTCTGACGTGAGTGATCCACGCTCCAACGCCATAGCTGCACTGTGTGTGTGACTGAGCCCTTTGCTGTCTCCCACTCTGCGGGACTCCTCGTCAGGACTGACTGCCATCGCTGTTCTAGTCGCTTAATTACTGGCTGCAAATGCTGCCAGTATGAATGCTAGAAATGACAACTAAGTGGAAGCCTGACGTTTACACGTGAAAGCGTGGCCACGTGCAAAGTGTTCTCAGCAAAGTCTCGCCAATGCCAACCAGACCTACAGTGGCAAAGAAGAAGAATCTTCACAAGCTGGCGAAGGTGGCCTCAAAGGCTGCAGATGTGGCACGCACATAGGAAGCAGGCCTTCAGGGTGCCAGCCACAGTCCGTCCTAACAGTGTCGAGACACAGGCTTCTAGTTCCTTCAGTGTGGTGCAGTGCAGAGCACCTGAGCTGTCCCTGGAGGCCGCAGGGAGCAGGGAGGCTGGCCTGGGGAGGGGCCGACACATCACAGGAGAATGCACTGAATACAGAAGAAGGTACAGAAGTGGCAGAGCCGGATTCCTGGGCCGCAGCACTCACAGCTGGAGCACTGGCACCACTCACCCTGACAAGAGGGGTCAGTGATGGATACGGCTCCGAGAAAGGAACGTGGATTAACTTTCTGGGGACTCACAGAACTTCAGCAAGCGTTCTGCAGGGTTGTACTGTCGTGGATGGACTTTCTGGGGACTGTCACAGAACACTGAGTGCTCCACAGGGCTGTACTGTTGTAGATGGACACTGAGTGAGTGTTCTGTAGGGCTTTATTATTGTGGATGGACATTCAGCGAGCGCTGTGCAGGGCTGTCCCGTCGTGGACGGACATTCAGTCAGTGCTCGGCAGGGCTGTATGCTGTGATATGTTCTGGTTTCCTGCTGCTGCTGTAACCAATGAGCAAGTGGGCAGTGGTTTCAACAACACGAAGGGACAGCCTGCAGTGGTGGTCAGCAGGTGAGGCAGGTGTGCTGGCAGGGCCAAGGTCCTTCCGGGAGCTGCAGGTGAGAACGCCTGGAGCCTCCTCTAGTCTGCAGATGTCACCTGCAGTGCTGCAGGGGCTTCCTTCTGGGGCCTTTCACCTTGCAGTGCTCTGGAAAATGGCTCAGGAAGTTTCTCCCTAACTCCCATTACTGCTGCCCTCGTTACCTGGAGAAGCCACCTGGTGTGTGTGGGCGGGGGACTCCAGAGTGCTGCTACCCAAGGGTTTCAAACCAGTCTGAACTGGTAAAGTCATGACTGACACAGTAAATCTGGAACAGACCAGAATTTGTAAAATGTGGGATGAACGGGACAGAGAAAAAAATGAGCAGGGCACTGTTCTTGATGACTCTGAGGGTCGAGAGATTTGGTGGTGCAATGGGTATGCTAGCCTTGTTTTCTTTTTTAATTTTATTATATTTTGTGTGTGTACCGTCAAACTGGATCTGACTGGTACAGGAGGAGACTGCCCTTACTTCTCTAGCAGAGCATCTGATGGATTCGAACCGTGTACCTCTGGGATTGCAGTGCAGCTTCCTGCCACTAGAGCTCCC